TATTAAAAACAAAATTATACATCAATATTAATTTTATATATTTAATAATAATAATAATAATTATATAATATGTATAAATGTATATATGTATAGGGAAATTAGAACAAGCTTTATTATATAATAAAGTAATATACACAATATTGCATAAATATTTATATTAATTATTAAATTGTATACTGAATTGTATGTGTATTAAATGTGTATAGAATAATATTATGTATGAAAAAATGTCATTTATATTGATATATACGACTAAAATGTTGTTTTATAATTAAATAATATAATTATGTAAATATGTTTATGTATATTAAATAAAAATAATTATTTAGAGTTTCTAATATTGCGCGTAATTATAAATTTGCCACTCAAATTGTATTTGTGCGGTAAATGTCATATTCATGTCAAAATAAAATTTACTTGAATGACATTAAAAATTTCGAAATTCTAATTTTGATTGTCATTAGAAAAAATTAACTGGTAAAGCTGGTCACTAGAAAATTAACAGCGAACTACACATCGTTTATGAAATCAAGCAAACCATTTACACTCTATGATTTTAGAATAATAAATATGCAACATGACATACGAGTATCAACATAATCTGATGTTGAAATTCTATGAAATTCTTTTTGGAATTGTATGTAAAAGTTTAACCAATTGTAATATAAAAATTTATATCAAGAATCGTAAAAAAATAACCATAATATGGAAAATGTGGTATTGAAACTAGAAAATTAATAACTAATTTTGACCTAAAATTTATGGTTTATGAAAATCAATTAAAATTTAATTTTAAATCGGGTACGTAATAAAATGTGTGTATATATATATATATATATGTACACAAATTTTTTTATATGTACGTATGCATTTTTATAGTCACAATTGGGAACGTAATGAAATGGAAACAAAAATAATAATATTCCCATTTATTAATTTGGTTTTTATGAACAAGGTTAAAATGGCAATTCATACACATATAATATGCAAATATTACCATTTCTCTAAAGAGAATTAAATGTTTTGTGAATTAAATGTAAGAGAATTTTATATACAACGAGCTTAAAACAAAACGCAGCAAATAGCAATGAGCTGTCATGCTTTGTTTACGTAAATGAAAATATGAAAAAGAGAAAAATATTCGGCCTAGTATATGAGTAGCGTCGCAGTAAGAATTTAAAAAAAAAAATACTTGACAATTTTAGTATTATATTGGAAACAGGACGTGTTGTTTCTAAATATTTATTATATTTGACATAGTGTCACATTTCTGTGCTTTTTGTAATAATTTGTCACTCTTCTCTAAAAAGATTTATTCAATACACTCAAACATCGTAATTTAATTCGCAATACCGGCATCCGGCATCACCTAATTTTTGAAACAAAATTTCAAAAGATGACAAGCAGCATTTTTATCGCTCTTGGCAAATAAACTCATAGGTAAATTTATGGCAAATTATGGAGAGAATGGCAAATTATGGAGAGAATGGCAAATTTATTTTTTTAAAAATTTTAATTCGTGAACATTTTATTTAGCGCAGTGAATTTTTGTTGTGAATAATGTTGGAAAATGTTATTATTTTCTATTATATAATTATATGCATGTATGTAAAAATATTAAAAGAGTAATGACACTTTAATAATTAAAAAAATTTTTCTTTCTCTTAATTTTTTTTTTATTGTTATTAATTATTATTTTTATATTAAAATTAGCAAAGGAAGTAGCGGTTGTAATAAACAACTAAAATATTTTAAATAATAATTTTTATAGACGTTCAATGCATAAAATAAAATATGAAATTAAAAAAATTTTTATATTTAATTCTAATTATGAATAATTTCAGATTTTTTTTTTGTTTTTTTTTTCGTGATTCATTTGAAATCAAATATGGCGAAACACAAAGCGAAAAAGAATACGAAAACAAAAATTAATAATGGCTACAAAAAAAAAATAATTAAACTCAGAGAAAAAAATTAAAAAAAAATTTTTTTTTTATTAAAATTTTAAACTAAAGGACAATGGTCGGGTATACGCACATCGATATATATATATATACATTTAAATTTTACAATATAACAGAAAAAAAAACATTTAATTAAATTTCTATTTATTTGTACATATATACAAATATATATGTACATATATATTTATTACGACAACATATATTTGTAAACAAAGTGTGTACTGTATATTTATAAACAAATTTATATACGAAAGATTTATTTACAGGATTATATGAAGTAAAAAGGGCTATTCAATATTATAGATGTGTTACCTATGTAACTATAAGGACAGAATATAAGTATACTAATATATATATTAAAAACATATCCAATAGGATTGGGTACATAATACAAACTTTCGTCTTTGAAATCCCGGCCTAATTAAAGGAATTATTATAGAGCCCAAATCTTAGATTCAATAGATTGAGCACGCTTGAGTTAATGATCTAAATTAATAAAGTGGTAGGCAATCTTTAATTTAAAAATTTTTTTACAAGTCTCATTAGCTGCATTTAAATAAATCCTGAATTCTTTTGCTTTTCCTCCTATAATTGGAATAATTTTCCTACTTGTTCACAATGGAGATTTTTGCGTACAATTTTCCAAGTTTTTCACATTTCTTTTGGAAATTCAATAAATTTTATTCCTTTCGATATTAAGTTCGTCTCATAATAACTCTACGTCTTCTCGCAAAACAAGTTATTGAACTTGAAGAAAAGAATTTACATTCTTCTTTCACAAATTTACAAAAACAAACAATACGAGTACATATACGAGTATCATGGCTTTCACGATTCTTTTCAGCAAAAAAAAAAAACAAAAGTTGCTTTCGCATTAAAATTCTACAACTAGCCAAAATAGACAATTAATGATATGAATATATTTAAAACCTAATCCATATTATAAAAAATACGATATTTTTAATATCGTAAAATATATTTTAGTTTATGTTACTCAACTGGTATCCAAATAAAATGCTTAATATTAATTTTCAACAGATGATAGTAATTGAAAACTTTTAACAGACCTTAAGCCTTAATGGTACAAACCTTAAAAATCTGGAATATAAAGAAAGAATTTCATATTAATTAATTTTTCGGATCTACATATGTATATCACTCTAATAAGAATCATGTTACAAGTTGCCTAAGTTAGCTCAAAGAATTAAGCTGAAATTAGCTTACAGACTTCAACCGAAACTATTTAAATGGAATGTAGGAATGAAGTTTTATTAATTAGATAGCGATACTGACTCATAATTCAGTAGTTCAATTCATGATACTAAGTAACATGATATTCGATTTGGGTTTTCATAGTATCGAATTTTCAACTTTATAATAACTCAATACAAATCACATCAAATTAATTGTAGTCTATGCTTAGCTGTAAATGTAAAATTTTTGTGTATATATTTTTTGTAACGTGTAACTTGTTTATTAAGAACTCAAAACTCAAATTAATTTCTTCAAATAAATTTTTGAAAAATTAATATATAATCTATTCTAAGGGTATTTAACATTTTATCTACGAAATTCCTTCAAAAATTTCTTAACCCCTTTTAACTATGGCATAAAGAAAGCCTAATACGAGGTTGTGTTAACCATTATGCCATTAATTCATTTAATAAATTAACAATTTCTTAGAATATATACTTAAAAACAAACCAAAAACAAAAACAACATGAAAAACTCAAAAACATATAACACAAAACACAATAAAATATGTATATAAGTGTATGCACACAAAAATGAAACACATTTAAAAATAGTCGCATTAGTATAGTGTTGTAATAATTGTAATTAAGAATGTGAATAATATTTATGCGAGAATTTATTCTAAAAAATGAATCACTAAATAATAGTGTGATTTACCATAAAAAATTAGATATTATAATATCATAAACACAAACCAATTGATTACGATATTTATTTCTATGATAAAATGTTTACGATATCACTTATAGCGATACACTTTTCAGAACAAACCCCACTAAGTAGTGAATGTGATTTTACAAAAATTTTCCAATTTCAAATGCAAAATGAATTATTTTTATTTTTGTATATAGACGGTTCATAACTAATTATGTTCAGTTTTAATAATGTTATACGGATATAGAGAGTGAATTACTAATATATTTGTTCAATATTTATATGAAATTGGTATTCTGAACTAAAATGTTGAATTTATGGTTCAAAGTGAAACTTTATAATTCATTTAAATTTTTCTTGATTTTGTTTGTTTTAACATTAATGTATTTAAAATGATAAAATTGAAACAAAAATTCAAATAACACATGTATTTATACAATTAAATATATCATGTATGAAATTAAATTCATTAAAATCATAATTATTTAATACTCATATATTTAATATACTTAAAAGATTAAAATAATATTGAAAGGGAACATAAAATAAATTAATTATATAATATGTATACAATATAATTACATAATATATAACGTAATTCGTACACAATCAAATGCACATGTACTTATATATCAAAATGTATATATACATATGTATATAAAATTATATATTGAACATGTAGAAATTACTATATACATGTAAAATATTCAAAGTGAAAACTCTGTAATTAACAAGATTTTAATATACTAATGTAATATAATAATTTAATATACTGTATTTTAAAAAAAAATATAACAAATAAAAATTTACTTGTAAATAAAATTCATATTTCTTTACATTTTTAATTTCAGAGAATGAGTTTTCACTTTAAATAATGATATATACATATATATATATATATATATATATATATATATATATAACAAGATATACTATATACATATTTATAATATACATATATGACAATTAATAAATGCAGTTAAGAGTTATGATATTTCTTTTGCATTTTTAGACAACTTAAAATATGAACCAAAAATATATAGGTATATATATAATGTATAAGTATAGACAAATAAAACAAAAATAAAAAAATGAACGAAAGAGCATTATTAAAATCTTTTTATTCACCTTAAGCGCTTCATCATGACTAATTGAAGTGAATGGTGTACCATTCACTTCTAGGATTGTATCACCAGGACGTAATCCAGCTCGTTCAGCTACCGAGCCTTCTTCTACTCTTGATATATATACACCTAAACCTAAATATAACAATATTATAAAAATAATAATATATTATAATAAAATATATACAATTTATATATTTTGTTAAGCAAAACGAGAATATAATAGTTATAACGAAAAATATAATAATTATAACGAAAAGTATAACAGTTATAAAAAATGTATATATAATAGTTAAAACAAAAAAATATAACAGCTTTAACATAAAATATAACAGTTTCAATAAAAAAAATATAACAGTTTTAATATATATAACAGTTATACTATATATATATATATAACAGTTTTAATATATATAACAATATATAACAGTTATATGAAATGGAAAAGCTACAATTTATATTGTATATATTTTTAAAAATTTATAAAATAATTTTTACCTGAATCTTTTCCACCTTTAACACATATACCGAAACCGTGACCAACATCTGGCTGTTGATCCCTTGACATTGACACAGTTCTTGTTGATAACTCATGTATATTTGGTATACTACGATCTCTTTCTCGATCTCGGTATATCTAAAGTATAAATTAAAGTTATTATTTTATAAGACTACAATTTTCATAAATTTTAGAAACAAAAAATTGTTGCATAAATTTAGGAGTAACTTGTCAGATGTGTTTTTAAATCTAAACAATGCTTGTTTTTTATCATTTTATCGTTTTAAATGAAACTGAAATAAATATGTTAATAGGAGAAGTTACGGTCAAAAATATACTGAAAAGAATGACCACAGAAATGTGATAGAAATATAATAGGGTAACAAGAGAAAAAAGTCTTTAAATAACTTGTCAAGTTCAGAGTTGTGCCGAAAATGTATATATACCTTATAACCTTTTATAAAAGCGTCATATTAATTGTAAAATATATTCTTTACTAAATAGTTTTAATTACACTTGTATCTGATTCAAATGCAGAAGTTTTACAAAACCGTATAACTATTAGTCTCGATTTAAAATGATAAAACTATTGTTCGGCAATCATATTTGGCATAAAGTTTTTAAAGCATATAGGGAAACATTTAAAAATCCTTAAATAAAAAAAATAAATTAATATTTAGCTATACGCGAGTGTTGTCCAAATTCCTCATAAATATTATGTGTGTACAATTTACACAATTTGTTCATAGATATTAACCACTTAGAGTGTAATGAACATTTATCATAAATAAAATTTATAATTACCCTAAATGTGTTAGTAAAACAGCAAAAAAATTAACCATTTTCCTACATAAATGTACTCATACTACATACATAACATACATGCATGGTATCCTTTGTTCGTAAATTTTTACATTTAAAATTTCATTTTTAAAAGCCTTTTCTCTTTTATCATTACTAACCGAAAATCTATAAAATAATGACAATGATCATGATGATGATTATGATAGCATTTTCATCATCATCATCATCATCAGCGTGTATCAATACGAGTAATGTTTACATAAATGTAATATGCTCTATTTAGAGTGCAATTAAAGTGCAATTTTTATATTCGAATCGTTACAAAAAAAAATTCTTTCTTTAAAAAGTTCATTCCAGTATAAATTTAACAACAAGAAATATAAAAAATATTTTAACTTCTTCTTAGAAATAATGATATATATATATATATATATACATACACAAATTCAATGTAAATGTTTGTGTGAATTAACCGAGAATAATTTGTAAAATAATAAAATAAACAAAATATACCAAGAAGAAAATTATTTCCAAGGATCATAATTACATCCTTGGTCTGATATTCTGCTTTGCTTCAAATACAAATACAAGAGAATATTAAATAATATATATACTATACATGTATACATAATATACAAAGTTATGTATACATAAATTTGCAAAGTTATAGGGTTCTTTATTAGCGCTTTAAAATCTTTGTAAATAAAATGCTTTCTAATTTACTCTTATTTTTTTCTAAGAATTTTCATATTTCTAATGAAAAAAAAAAATAACAAATAATTAATATTATAATAATTATATTAAAAAGGCTAAAATGATTCATTTTAACCCTTTGAATTTCTTTTGTATTCAACTTTGAGTTTAAGTTTTAAAATTTATAATTAATTAACGGTGTTACCTTCAATCAAATCATGTAGTTAAGGCCAATTTTATTAATATAAGATTTTCTTCTTGTAACAAAAATTTTGGTTTTTGTTGGGGCAGTTCAAATAAAACGTTTATTTAGAAATATTTTGATTGACAAATTTCATAGAAAAGTGAAAAAGTCCAATAAAGAAATCAACTACCAAGAAAATATTGTGTTTAATTTGTTAAATTTTGAATTTGTATTCATCTCATTTGAAAATTTGACAATTTTTATTTTGATCCTTATATAAGACAAACGAGAGAATCATGTATTCTTAGGCTATTGTATAGTTTGAACTGTCAAGTTATTGGCGAAGTTTTAATGAAAAGACTGTTCATCAGGCTGCCGTTTGGCGTACGAATACAGATGGCTTATCTAAACCAACCGGTTCTCTTGAGGAACCCAACTAAATCTCTGATATTAGTCTTCGATATCATATCCTCCAGGTTAATGAAGACATGGTAGATATGTTCATCAAGACCTTGAAAAATCGAAAATCTCCCGGTCTAGATGACATCACCAATGAATATTTAAAATACGGAGGAAATATATTAGTTCAACAGCTCACGAGGCTCTTCAATAATATTTTGAATCAACAGTTAATACCAAGGGATTGGAAAACATGTATCACTGTACCTATATATAAAAAGGGTGATAAAAACGATCCTGTAAATTATAGAGGTATTACATTACTAAGTTCAGTTCAGAAATTACTCACCAAAATAATTAATGACGAATTACTGTCAAAAATAGAAATAAGTGAAGAGCAAAATGGATTTCGTAAGAACAGGTCAACCATAGACGCAATCTTTGTTGTACGTCAGCTTGTTGAAAAATCAATCGAGTTTGGTAAACCCTTGTTTATGTGTTTCGTGGATTTGAAACAAGCCTTTGATAGAGTCAGACTCAAGGATGCAGTACGAATATTACAAGAACATTCTATACAAAATAACATCATCGGACTAATCCAAGACATTAACACCAATAACAAAACCAAAATCAAGGTGAATAAAAAACTGTCTGAAGAAGTCTCAATATCAACTGGCATAAGACAAGGAGATAGCCTGAGCCCGAGCCTGTTCAATATAATCATGGACAAATTAGTAAATAGTGTGGTCAACAGTGGAAGAGGATATAAGATGGGCAGCAAAGATATCAGTATTGTATGCTACGCAGACGACGCCGTCTTACTAGCTGAAAATGAAGATGATTTACAGAGGCTGTTATACACATTCAAGACTACTGCAGAGCACTACAATATGAAAATATCAGTGTCAAAGACAAAATCTATGACCATTTCGAAAGATCCACTCCGTTGTAAATTGGCGATAGACGGCACTATAATTGAACAGGTGATGAGTTTCAATTATTTGGGAGTTGAAGTGACCAGTGACCGGGATTCAAATAGAGAAGTAAGGGCACAAGCCAGTAAAGGCGCTGCAATATCGGGATACTTGCGTGATGTAATATGGAGTAACAGATACATGCTGTTAGATAATAAAATACGTATCTACAAAACATGCGTGCGTCCTATATTGACATATGCCGCCGAAACAAGATCTGACACGTCCAAAACAAAACAACTATTGCGAACAACAGAAATGAAGACACTAAGGCAGATATGTGGGTACACACTAAGAGACAAAAAACGCAGTACCGACATAAGAGAGGAGTGTAACATTCAAGATATCGTTCGCTGGACCCGTGACAGACGGCGATACTGGAGAGATCACGTCAATAGAATGGGTGACAACCGACTTGCGAAAATTACCATGACCAGCAAACCGAGTGGGAAGAGACCAGTAGGCAGACCGCCCAAAAGGTGGCGCGAATGTTGGACCTCAACCTCACAAGAACAATAAACGATAAAGCTGTAAATAATGTTGAAAACAGGCACTCTGCCTAACACAAGAAGAAGAAGAAGAAGAAGAAGATATCATATCCATCCCCGTGACATTTAGTCCGCTATCCGGGCCCAGCTCAGAACCGGACACTCACAGAGATATAACCTTGAAATGGGAATAAAATTAGAAGGTATTGAAGGTAAAAATCTGGCATTTTTCATCCGCGAAACTACGTTCTTCATCTTTCAAATCGGCTGTTTTTTTTAATATCCGTCACGCCACTAAGTTTATCATTAGAAAAGGTACTACTCGTAAAAAAAGTCAATTATGTTTCGACGATGAGTATAATGGCATACTATTACCCGCCATCAAGAAGAAGGTTATGAAGCAGTGATTTAAGGAATTTACAATAAGCTGGTTATCAAATCAACAACCAGAAAAATTTACAATTTTAAAACACAATTAAACAAAAAACGCGTAACGCAACTGTCAAATCGTCATACAAATTGCCGTTATTGTGAAATCATTTTCACAAAACTTTTATGATTCGATCTGGACACCCTATATTTTTTTGTACATCTTTTAAATATATGTACATAAAATAGATAAAATTTTTATTTTTATTTCTTTAAAATTATACAAGCGAAATTTAATATCAGCAAAAAAAAAAAATTTTATATTCAGCCAGCGCCACTATTATGAATAGAAGAAACTAGAAGTTTTACTCTTTTATTTTTATATTTTTTTTTTTGCTTATTTTCATTTATCTTTGGTTTTTTTTCTATCGCTATTTATTTATGAATTTATGTGTCATCCCATGCGTTTACTAAGTTAGTTTATGTGACAAGGATGCTGTTTCATGTATTTCGTTTTTTTTTTGTACTCTTTTTACTCTACTTGTTGTTGTTATTTTTGCTATTATTATTATGACATATACTTTAATAAATTTTATAAATACACACAACAACTTTATAAACACAAGTATATTTGGGGTTTGTAAAAAAAATAAATTCAAGGGTATATGTGTATGCAAGTCTAAATACGAGTAGTATGACCTATGAATACAAAGTTATATAAATATTATATGTATTTTCAGCTCACATTGGATTTAAAATTATTAATTGTTGTCACATAAATAATATAAAAAGCTTTGATTTGAAGGGCACAAGTGGCCATCATTTAATTACACAGCAGGTATAATTAAAATCGATTTAATATTTACTAATTAATGAACAAGTACTTTTCTACTTGTACTACACAAACATATTGTGTACACCACGTGAATATGATAAGATAATTTTTTCCCGGTCACGGTTATTGATATTTAGAGTTGATCTATACCTTATTGGACGCACTTATAGTAGTTAGTTTTAATTACATCATTTCGGTCCAAATATATTAATAAAAATTCAGTTGCAAATGTACTGTAATAAATACAAAATGCAGGGCAAGAATAATAAGACATACATTTTTGGACGACGGATTAGTTAATGTTATATTAATGTAACATAAAGAATAAACTTGCCTCTATGGAAGTTCGATAAAGCTTATAGTGTCAAAATTAAAACTGACAACTTATATTAATAAAGACATCGTTTCTAATATATTTGGGAATATTGTTATGGCGTAAATCGTAAATATCCGAGAGTTAAGAAAGTGAATAAAATTCTTCTAGATCTTCCGAAATTTTACCACTAAGTTTGAATTTAAATTCGAAATATAACAGAAGTTGTTCGAGAAGATTTTTATTAACACGGGTCAGTATATGACAATAATGCTGCTTTTTATCTTAATAACATTCGAATTTAATAGATTATAAAATTTCAAATGCGCCCCTGGCATCCTAATAAATATATATTATATTAAAATATAAGCACCAACACATACTCAATTCAGTATTACTTGAACGTAAATACATATTTGTAAAGAATCTTGTTACACAATTTACTTTAATGCAAAAGGGAGCATTAAAACTGAAGACGAGAAACTACTTCCGCGAACAAAAGGAAGTGTTAATGTTATTTTAAGAAGTTCCCTTGACTCTTTATAAAATATTCACGTAACTAAGTTTGTCATTTCTTGTATATACTATACATTATTATAGCAAATATACTAGAGTATGGTAAATTTAATTCCGTTATATAGATTTAAATTACAGAATAGTTTTTTAAATTTCATTTAATTTTAGTTTAAAAGGAAAGAAGAAAGTTTTTTTCGTTCTACAAAATAACAACTTTTTAGTTCTGGAGTTTATGTAAGTTTTAGTACATCTAAAGTAAAAGTTTACTAAAGACTTTATAAAAGTTATTTTCAAGTTGAACTGAAAATCCTTAACGCGAAAGTAATGAAAATTTTCTAACAATAATGACTTTAAAAAAATTTATAAATTTCCAGAATAACTTCAGTTAAACCAAGTAATTTTTAAGTTGTTAAATTAAAAATGGTTCGTTTGAGTTAAAAAATAAAAAAAAAAAAACAAAAAAATTATTTACCTGATGTGTTGTTGATGGTGGACTACTTGCTGGACTCCGTCTACCACGATCCCTTGTGCCGTTGCTATAATGATAACTTGTAGGAACTGATGATGAGGTTGTTGCACCAAACATTCTTATTACTTGTTCGGGTGATATTGGCCTCTTTTTGTTGCTGCCATTTATATGTCGCGTCGAATTCGATACGGTACCAGAACTTCCAGCTACCGTGGCACTTGAAGATGACGCTAACGCACCTGGTATATGACTTGATGATGATGATGTTAAATATGAACCGCGACCAGGCAACGAACCACCTTTTATTTGAGCACTTGTTGCACCAGTCGCCGATGTATTGTAATAATAATGAGGTGAATGTGGTCTTTCTACAATTGTATATGATGTACCGGGTGGTGAATAATATAAACCAGATGCACCACCAGTAACAACACCACTTCCAGAACCACTTCCAGTACCTAAACCAGTTGTACGACCACGTAATGAACTTGTACTGTTTCCTATACGTGCACTTATACCATAAGGGCCACTCCCACTTACAGTACCTGATGGAACGACACCAATGCCATGTCCACCAGTTATATCTTCGTTTACTTCGAAACTGTCTGATCTGTGATGTGATAGATGCATATGTGAACTGCCGCTTATACCACCAACACCTAATGTACCACCCGGTGGTGGTAATATTACACCAGTTGAACCAGCTGAACCAGATGTATGATGATGGGTACCTACAGCTACTGGTACAGAAGACCCTGATAATGTTGAACTGTGCGGTGGATGATAACCACGTGAACTCCATCTTGATGGACCTAAATCGCATAGTTCTGCATAATCGTTGCCCGCTGCGCTCATTGTTAGGGGGTCTCCGCCACCGTGGGCGCCCCCTAAGCGCATTACCGCACACCTATAAAGAATTACAAAAAAAAAAAAAGAAAATTAATTAAATATGTCATGAACAAAATTGAAAAAAAAAAAATAAAGAGAATAAATAAATCAATTACAATAATTTATAATATGTTTAACATACAAAAAATTTTAATTATTAATATAATGTTCATGTGAATGTATATGTAATAATAAATGTTATAAATAATTTCCTACTGTGATAATATTTAATTAAGGTACCAATCATTTTAATAACAACAGTAATAAACTATGATTTGGCATTGTCTCTAAAACTCAATACAATAATAAATTTCCTCCCCTTCAATTTATTTTCTCTTAATGTCAGAAATAAATTTTACTACTTATATATCTTATATAACATATCTCTCATACCTTATATACACACTATGTACATGATACTTATATACCTATTGTAATTTAATACATAAATGTGTAGGTGTCACTTTGATTTACAATACCTTACAAAATCTAATGAGCTTACCGAGGGTAATAAATAAACGTGGAAAATTATATACTATTATTGCGTTGCGTATGTAATATGTGAGTGTGTGTACAAGAAAATTTAATATTCCTTTCTGAATATACTAGCATCTTTTATTATTTATATAAAATGTATACGAGTATATAATAATATTATTAAACTTAATTTATTATATAAGCATAATAGATGGCGTATTTATCGTATTGTATAATATTTTATTAGAAAATATTTTACACATAATATGTATATATGGGAATAGTTCCAAAATTATTATCGTGTTTTACACAAAAATAAAATTTAAGTTGAAAATACAATTGAATAATTTAGCAACTCACCACCTGCAATATTGGTAATAAAAACTAATAAATAAAAAATTGTTTTTTTAACTAAAAATTATCTTATATACACACAATATGGTTGTGTATACATATAACAGATGTTGCCATATATAAGCAATATTAAGTGGTGTATTTTAAGAAGATAAATTGGTCTAATATAAACCAATTTTCACATTTGGTTTTACATTTTCATTGCTTCTTGTTTTCTATTTTCAATTATAATTAAAAAGTTCTATAGGGCATCTTGCCAAAAATATTTGCTAAATTTAAACAAAAATGCAGAAATTTGTGGGATGCATTTTCGTAATATTTTTTTATATTTATTTTGAATTGCAATACTATTTGATGCAGTACAATTTTTTATTAGAATAGAATCAGATCCAATTTTATATAATTCTATTAATTCCCAATAAATCTGAGGCGAATAAGCGGGCGAATTCAAATAAAATTAAGTCATAGTACATAAAAAAAATTCTCTACCACATAAAATATAAAATTCATTTTTGATAATATTTTACTACAAAAAATTAAAAAAAATTTCCACCACACTTACGGAATACCCTCTAGGTCTTACGTATATATATGTATATATTTTGTATATAGTGTCGAATGTCAAATGTCTTGAAAAATCAAAAATGAAAATGAGGATCAAAATTTAATTAATGATAATATTAAACAAAGTCTTTATGTCCCCAATTGTGACAAAAAGATGATGGAACAATGATAGCATAGTTAAAATCCAAAAAAAAAACAAAAAAAAACAAATTGCTTGAAAAAAATTGTGAAGAAATTTTTATTTTTCTTTTTTGTTTTTTTTTTACCTTAACGCCTAAAAAGTAAATTTTAATAAATTAGAAGACTTTATCTTCAGAAATCCTTTGCTCAGGCAAGTATTCCCATTTCCCAAGCAATGAATTTATTCTTTCAATTTTCTTTATTTCTTTTGATTTTTTTTTTCTTTTTGTTTTTTTGTGTATACTCTAATTATAATAAAATCGCCTTTCTCTTCTCACCAAAATACACAAAATTCATATTGAAATAGTACAATGATTTAGTAATTTAGTTTATAATATTAACATTAATTTACAAAAAAATTAATCATTCAAAAATTTATCCCTGTTTGGTACAATGTCCTTCACTAGGTTTATTAACTATATTACTGAATAGAAGTAGTAAATTTTTTTTTGTAAATCCTCTTCAGATGCTACGATTCATGGAATTAATTTTCTACAAAATCTTCGATGATATCCAATTTTTCCATAATACTCGTTGCTGACTTTTTCCTTATTATAGTTTCTGGAACATTATGCCCAATAGGGTTAATTTCTAAACAAAAATTTGAGGAAATATTAATTAATTCAATACAATTTATCCGTCAAACCAAAGAATGTACTGTTTGATTCTCAAAGATCGAAATGTCTAAACTGATTTACAATAGTCAGACTAAATATTAGAGGAGGTAGCTGACTGTTTGAACGGTAAATAGCAGTCGACGAACTATTTGACGCTGAAACTCATTATTCTTTATTCAGCTTGATTTTCTTACTGATTTTCAATTAATAGCAATTTGATGATTTCTCTTATAAATTTTAACATTTCGTATCCTACAGTTTGTCACACCAACTACATTATGTATACATTGCATGTTCACATACACAATTATTTCGTAAATATTTTTTGTCTTATATTTCGTTCTAGAAATCTTAAGGCAAATTTTGTTTGTTTTAAGTCCTTAAGAAAAGAAAAAACACAAAATTGAAATATAAAAAAAAAAAGAAACATTTTTTATAAGAAAACAAACGATTCGAAGAAAAAAAAAAGAAGAATAGCAAACGTAACCCTTCACAAAAAACAGAAAAAAAAAATCCTTTCTAAGGATACTTACATTATATTTGCATTTGTATATATAGAAAATATTTCATACTCATACACAAATTCACACATTTATGCTCATTATACACACACACACACACGCATATTATCAAAGATAAATTGTCAAATTTTAATCGAAACATCTAGAGTATTACACTTAGTATTGTTGAACGACGTTAGGCCTTTTTTCCGTTCTATGTTATTTTTGTTTTTTTCTTTGTCAGTTTTTTTTCTTTTTTGGTTCAACATTAATTAACGTCAAAAAGGAGTGGAAGCACAAAAAAAAAACAAAAGAAAGTTCATTCGCGCGAATTAATTGGTTATTTTTCGGTTTTGTTGTTTCTTCTTAACTTTTTCGAGATACAAAAAGCAAATATAAAAGGTACACGCATTTGTAAGAAATTCTATATTTTTACGAGAAAAATTTTTTTTTTTGGTTTTTCTTAATTTATAACATAAGAGAGAATAATATTGTATACAATATGTATGTATGTTTGTTGATGCGTTTAAAATGGTAAAAGAACGTAATAATAAGAGCAATCTAAAATTTAATGGTAACCCATTTGTTATGTTTTTGGGGTTCTATTTTAAAAAATTTTTTAAAGAAAAAATATAAGAACCAGTGAAAAGAAAAATCATTTCAATTTTTTGAAAAAAATTAATGTAATAATGTCGATAAAATCACTTTTTAACAAGATTCTATTAAAAAGATTTTAAAATATAATAGAAAATTTACGATCAACAGGATTCTTTTACATACACAATATATTGAAAGGAGTCAAATATATTTTTGCAAAATGTTTTAAGAATATTATGTTTAATATTGAATTTGTGAATTTTACTTTAAGGAATTAGGGGCATGAACAGATAGAATTTGAATTTTTAATTTAACGCGATTAACTGCAGTTACTGGTACAACAGTAAAGTACTTCCATAATAATAATTATTGGTGAGCGGAAAAAAATGTAATTATACGATTTGTTCTACCTTATCCGTCCGCTCTTTCCAAACGAATACAGAATTTTAAATTCGGCAGCCTATTTCGAAGTATAACAACATAATATTTCAAATAACATAATTAACGATATAAAAAGGATATAACCAATATCATGTTGAGAAAGAGGTTTTCTAATTTCCTCCTAAAAGTATGCAAAACGTGAAAATGTTGATGTCCTCCTAAAGATATGCAATGAGAATAATTCACATAGAACACTATTTTCCAAAATTTAATATTGTTGACTACATACTTTAAAAGCAAAATAAATAAAAATTTTTCAAAAATTTCACTAAAGAATTTTAATCGTAGTTTCCGGAATCATTTACTACAAAATAAAAAAAAAAAAAAAAAAACTACTGAAATTCAAGAATTTAAACTTTTAAATTCTTTATAAATTCAATTTTGTCCATTTATTTAGTGAATATTGAACACCCATTGAAAAAGTATTCAAATTATTTACGTGAAAAATTTTATCACCATTTATTTTTTATGATACTATTACTTTCCTTCATTATATTTATAATTTTGTATATTAAAGAAATAAAACATTAAAAAAAAAGGTCATCTAAATTTATTACACTCTATGTTAAAGGAATTTTAATATGGTAATGTGTAGAACGTTTGTATGTAAAAATGTATTCCTAATATAACAGTTTCAACATGGTTATGTTTTTCTGTATTGTTTCGTTTATCATTTTGAGAATGAAAAGCAGTAGGTTTTGTTTGTTTGTGGTAAGTTAAGGAAGTAGGGGAAGTTATTCACACCTTTTTGACAATTCCGATCAAAAGTTTAAGAAATATCGTAATCTCGTCTTGTAGTAAATATACGATAAAAATATTTGAATTTCATTTGAAAAATGCATTAATGTTGCATTATTACTCGCATATCAGGTGCACTTTTTCCGGTAATTCTAATTATGGTAATTCATTATCAAAGCAGTGTGCAATAACAGTGTGTACAAATAAAATCAAAGAATGAAATTAATCACTGAAAACAGATTTTTTTTGTAATTTCACTTACAAATCTTCAAATAACGTCATAAAATATTGTGCAAAATTACACGTTTCACATTTTTAACTGTGCAAAATTACACGTTTTATTTTTCTACTAAATTACGTAGTTTTTATCTTTCTTTTAATACAACTTTTTTGTCCCAAGCAACGCAACACTTAGATTTCAGATTTTATTTTAGGAATGCCGTAACAGACAGGCCAAAGTGCGTAAAATATTAAAATATGTGATATTTTTTGAAAACGCGAAAAGGTCTCGAAATCGCGGGAGTTAAAAAATAACTCGAGAAAGTTACACA